GTAACAGAATACACCTAGAGTCTAGAAGAGTCCATCACCAGTTTGTGCTCTGAGATACTGTGATACTGTTCACAGAGTTCCAAGGCTTCCTTTGGTTTATAGTTCCACTACTGTGCAAAGCTTCTTTAAATACATGAAGCGATTCTGTCCTCCACAATTTGCCAATGGCTTAATACTTGAAAAGAAGTTTCCTCTGAACTAAAAACAATTGTAATAACAAAAAAAATGCAGTTAATAAAGCCTCATGGGTAATACTGCTGTCTGCACTTGAAATACAGACTATCAGCTTCAACCATGAAGACACTACATTTGCTACAGAAAGGCTACAAAAAGAGCAGACATGCTTCCCCTCCCACCTTCATTCATGGGACATACATAATTTAAAGTATCCCAAATGTAAAGCATCAATGATACAGTAAATCAAAACATGGAGTTCTTCTTTTCTTAAGATCTCTACAACAGCATCTGGATTTAGAGGAAGGAGTACTTTGCACATTTCCTGACAGATTCAAATTCAGGTCTGGATATGACTTTAAAAGAAAAAGTTCATATTCTTGTACCAAATCTACTGAAGTGTGTCTCTCTATTTTGGGAATACCTCCTATAACTGACTTTTGTTCCCACTGTTTCAGTTCCAACTGTACCTACCAATCAGTTCCTTTACTGAAGATATTAGCAATGCTCTAGATACAAATGAAGATGCCCAAGATAATGCAAAACTAACAGCTGTTTCGGGTATGGCTTCTAAAAGTATTCATGTTTTAGTGTAATTCATGACCCAAAGATTCCACAAGAGCAGAGTTAACTTACTGGTTAGCATTACTTGGCTCTTAAGACAACAGAAAACCAATTCAAAACCAGATTAATTCCACAGATCCTGTCAGCTCCCTTCTGCGCTCAATCCAACATTAACAGGAGTAACTAAATTCTTCTGCAGATCTCTTTAAATTTCTCACTATTTGTCAGCGTACAGAGAAGCATATATTTGAAACAACCAGTTACTATTTCATCTTCAGAACAATTTAAGACCTGAAACAACCAGTTACTGTATTAGATCATCTTCAGCACAATTTAAGACCAAGCATGAGACACTCATTAGTAGCATTTTCACATGTACGAGGCATTCAGAGTAATGAATTGGATTTAGGATTTTCTGTCTCCTCCAATTTGTTCACCACCTATGAGTAGCCAAAGAGCCAGTCTCCGAGTTCACATGACTGCTCACAAGTTGGTATAGAAAAACTACCACTTCATTCCTTATTTCTGCTACCATAAAGAAAAAGCCATGATGACTTCCTTTCTTACAATATAAGCAGCAGAATCCAGTCTCTTCCTCTGCTCTCACACGAAGGGTCAGTCCACTGACAGAAACAAAACAATCACACAGAGGGAACATGCCAGCTCCTGAGCTGAGCTGGAAACCAACCAACGAGCTTCCACTAAGCCAAACAAATCCAGCATCAGCCATTCCCGACTAGCACCCTCCCCCTCCAGAACCACAACAGGAAGTCTCTTCATCTACCAGGAAACATCAGCCAAATGACATTCAAGGAAAGGCAGGCAGAGGTAGAAATCACATGACAGATAAGTCTTTCCTACACCCGCCTCTCTTCCAATCCTAAAACCTCCTCGTGTACTGGCTGCCCCTCAAATAAATTTTTCAAACTTGGGAAAGGCAGGGACAACAGGGATCGAGTACAGGAAGAAAGAAATACAGCAATAACTGCCAGAACAGAGAATAGTAACAAGTTCTGCAAAGAGAGAAAGGAATTTTAGTCTTTGGAAGGTTGCAACTAACGTTAACAGGGTGCAAAGGCAGACTGGGAAGCATGGGCACAGGAAAGGTACAAGAAGAAGACAAAAAAATTGGATAAGTGGGTTCTTCCTTTCTCACAGCCATAATATAGGAAGTCATAATAGAATAAGTCTCATGTGAGGAAAAAGACAGGCAGACTGGAAGGACGAGGGATGACAGGACGGGTCAGACCTGAAAGCACGTGGCCTTGGAAACAGGGAAACGGGCTTCATTGGTAACCAGGAGCTGGAAGGGGGGAGGGAAAAATGGGGGAAAAAAGGCCGTGATGATGGGGGGGGGAGGTGAAGCAGGGCCGAGGAAAGAGCACAGGCAGCACCGAGAAGGAAGAGGCGAGGCCGGAGGCCGGGGCGAGAGGGCTGCCCTCGCCTGCCCGCTCACCTTGATGCACTGCGACATTGCAGCCGTGCCCGTCGCAGTAGACGAGAGGGTTCTCGGCCCAGCCCCGCTCGTCGGAGCACACGCAGCAGCCGCCGATCATCTCCTTCATGCTACTGGAGAACTCGCCCTCCAGTGACACCGGCAGCAGCAGCGGCTCGCTGGAGACCATCTAAGGGTTAAAAACACCGTCGTCAACACCGCGCACGCCACACGCGCCTCGCCCTCCGCCTGCCCCCTCCCCCGGCGGGGTCTCCCCTCAGTCACTCAGCCGGCGCCGCCGCCACCACCGCCGCGGCAACGCTCCGGGGCCCATGACGGCCGGCTGAGCGCCTCGTCTCGCCCCCGCCCGACCAACCGGCCAGGCTGTGTCGGCCGGGCCGCGCCGGCGGCTCCCGAGGCGGACGCGGCTCCGGGGCGTGCACGGCGGCGGCGGCGGCGCGCAGGCGCAGTGCGCGCGCGCCCGCGGGGCAGGCGGGCAGGCCTCGGCCCGGGGCCTCCTCGCGAGGGTTCGCGCGCTGCCCGCGGAGCGTGAGCGCCGCCGCCCCGGCCCGGGCGCGCGCCCCGCCGCGCGCGCACCCCACGAGAGAGCGTGCGCGGGGGCACGCGCCCGCCCTCCGCCGCGCCTCGCCCGCGCGCACCTGACGGCCCCGCGCGCGCACCCACCTCGGCGCGCGGCCACGGCCCGGCCCCCGCGCGGGACATGGCGGGGCCCGCCCGGCCCGGCCCCTCCGCCCGCCCCGCGCCGCGTCCCGCCCGGCACGGCCACACCGGGCTGGCCGCGGCCCCCCTCGCTACCCTCCCCTCCCCTCGGCGTGGGGGGGCGGGCAGGCGGCGGACATGCGCCCCGCTCCCACCCGCGATGTCACACTGCTCATGCCCCCTTCAGGAAGGCTGGAGGACTCGCCCCATTCCCGCCCCCTTCCCACTCTCCCATCCCCCCCCCCCGAATCATTTTTACTATCTTGTTTATTTTCCCCCTGATGTGACTGCAGGACTAATGCATTCCCGCTCCCAACTTTTATTATCCTGTTTATATCCCCTCGGTGTGCCTGCAGGACTAATGCGTTCTCGCTATTACGCCACTTGCCCGCCCTCATCGCAACTTTTACTATTTTGTTTATTTTCCCGGCGATGGGGCTGCACAGCTAATGCATTATTAATCCCGCGCTTTCCTCTCCCCCAAAACTCCTGCCGTGGATGCAGCGCTGCCCGGCTATTCCTGCCACAGCAGCGAAAGTGATGCTGAACAGGAGATGTAACAAACACAGAAATTAGGGAGGCTGCAGACACAAAACCAAACGTGTTCCTCAACACAGCTGCTCTGGGCGTTTGGGGGTTCTTTTTTTAGTGAAACAATTCTGTAATTCTGTTGTCTCTCTTAATTAAAGGGGGGAGGAAGAAGGAAAAAAAGCGAGGGGAGAGAGCTGAGGTGGTCAGCAGAGAGGAAAATCTGAAGCTATTGAATTCACCATTGTAAACAGGTATGCCTATGGCACAAGGAACTAATTGTGGTGATTGTTAGGAGCACAGAGAAATTAAATGCAGCCTTGCAAAATTCTGCTCACTCATTTGCCCCAGGCCTAGACTTTATTTATTTATTTATTTCGTGTTGGACAAGTAAGATATCATTGATTCATCTTCATTATCATGCTAAAAGACGGAGAAGAAGAATTTGTGCGTGGATTGTATTTTTCATTATGATCTTGCAAGGGCAGCTCAGCTGCTTTCCCTACAAATCTCTACTGAATTATGTACATTCCTGGACACATCACCACCTACACCGACACATAGGCAGATTGTATTTTATACATTGTTAACTAATAATACATCTGCACTTGTGTACAGGCGTATCAGGAACTGCTACGTGGAAGGGAGAGATGAGATGTGTACAACTCTACCCCCTACAGACATTTGAGTCTGCAGTTTGGATGCAGGATATCTTAGGTCAAGGTCTTTTCTCTCCTTTAAAGATTTAAGTGAAATTATTTTGATAGAGAAAGAATGGCGGGAGGCAAAAGGGAGTCATAGAGGTAGCTTCCTACATGCAGGGCCCAACCAAACACGAGATTAATGCAACCATTTGGGGCACATTCTAAGCATTTCTCTGTAAATATATGCTCCAAATATCCATAAGAGTTTAAAAAATGTTTAAGACCCTTGTAAAAAAATTGAGGGGGAAGAGACTGGAACATACTGTGTTTCAGTTTGTGTAAAATCAAAGATTGCTCTCAAAAAAAAAAAAACACCCCCTGCACCAAATGTCCTATCAACACTGAAGAACACAAATTTGAACATAAAACTATATATATTATAAAACATACTTAAAGCACTATTTTTATTACTTTAAAAGCTCGTAAAAAAATGCCCTGAAAATTGCAGGTGCAAGCAATTACTTTGTAAGAAAATAAAGCAATTAATATATCCTGGTGTTTTAAAAAAACACAAATTATTTGAAGCTGATAGCTAGTGTCCCAGCCTTTCTTCATTCTTGTCAAGAAAATGACATCTAATTTAAAAAGCATCCTCAATGATTTTGCCAACCCTAACCAAGAAAAAAAAAAAAAAAGCACAGTACAGCAGCAAATCTATCCTTTATTTCCCTGACAGGTAAATTAAAATAAATATCCTTTTAAAATGAAAATCTATTCAATATATTTTGTTGGATGAACTCACACATTTAGTAAAACTTGCAACAAACAATGGTAAATTTTTCTCACCGCTTTTCTTTTTTTAGTTCATTGAGGTCTTCCTGTAATTTCTTCTTTGAAAAGCAACTAGTACAATTCCTGAGCCTTTCCTTTTTTTCTTTTTTTAATGTTAGCTATTTTAAAGCTCAATCTTTAGTCTTATAAAGAAGCATGACCAAAGAAAAAACTAATTACTTTGCAACAACTTGATTAAAGCTGCACCATGGCAACATGAGTATATTCATGAAAAATCTACTGTATAGTTTTCAAATAAAAATACTTCAATCTCACACCATGTAACACACTAGCTCAGTATTGAACAGCCTGAAATTCTGCTTTGGTCAAAATTCAGTGAAGCCTAATACATTCAGTTATTTAAGGAAACATTTTTTATGAATTTCTGTTTAATTCCCTCTGTAGAAGGAATATACATGGACTGGAAAAAACTCCGTGACTACCACTTTATGGTATTGTGTAATATTGGATGGAAAAATTTAGATAACCTCTTGATAGTTCTGTAAAACAATCATTTAAAGAAGACTTTTGAAATGCAAAATAGGAAAAGAAATGCATTACCACTAAATAAATACTGCAAACACTAAGCCTTTAACAGCTATGGAATCAGAACATAAAATCTTGTAGCATATATGTTCTTATGATTGTAGTATTTAATAAGCACTGACATGACACAGAAGACCAATTTTCTTTTTAAAAAAAGAAGCCTGTCCTTCTTATAGTGATATATAAGAGATTAAAATAATTAGAGAGGAATATAATCCAGTGAGTAAGAATGAATAATTTCATTGTTAATCTAAATGCAAGGAGAAAATCCAATTCCCTTAAAAGGAACCTACAAAACCTAGGAGCTAAACAAGTTAGAATATAAGAAATGTACAAAAAGATTCTATGTTTTGATTTTTTTTTAGATACTTTCACAAATAGAGTGAATGTGTAAGTGAAAGAAAATTACACTCTCCAAATGCAAATTGTTTCCAAAAGTTTAAGGCATTCCTCGAGAAAACATTAACGTATGTAAGTGAATAGCACTTCAGCTTCATAAATAACAATAACGAGGTATTCACAAATTTTTACTAAAAAATAATCAGTTCCAACAGTAAAGCTTTTTGAATGTTTAAATGTCATCTTTTTTCCCTAAAATGTGCAAAATCATATTGTGATTTTAGTGAATAAAACAAAGCATTGAACAAGAAAAAAATCTTTAATTTACAAAACCACATTACCACTTGTATATAATAATCAGAAGAGTCTTCCAAAAGTAACAGAAAAGGCACAGACTTGATACAAAATGCATACTATATTAGAAAACATGAATTGATATTGGGGCTTGGAGCTGTAGAGCAGGGAAACTCACTTCCTTCCAGAAAGCAAACTTCTTGCACCAATTTTTACTCCATTTTCAGATTGGGTCTTTGTTGAGAAAGCTGTGATCTTTACCTATGTGCAAAAGGATACACATGCTGCAGCTAAAGAGATGCAACTGAAAACAGAAAAATTGCAGTAACTTAGTGATATTCAATAGGTAGAATAATCTATCTCCCGATTATCCATTTAAAAGACATTGAAGCTTGTCTGCCTTTTGCTTCTGTGGGTTTAAATCATTAACAGTGGTCACTGAAATGCCTTCTAATCACAGGTATTTGCTTCATTTCTGGGAAGGCAGCAGCAATCGTCACTTTACACAAAATAAAATGCGACTCTTACGTGTTGACCCTTCCACACAGTGCATTTTAAATGGCAGTCTGACTTAGATCCAACAAATTCTTTCTATCCATGTTCAATTATGAAGGATATAGTGTGTCTACAGAATCCACATTAAAAATGTTAATGTATCTTTACATGCTTTAATTATACTGAGAAAGAGTAAAGTTTTCTTTTTCCTCCTCCTGTTCTTTAATATACTGCTAAAATCTGTATTTACCACCTATCCAAATGCAATGTACTGAATAATTTCAAAGTTTCAACATTTAACGTGTCGTCGCTTCATGATCAGGAGTTTGCATGTTCTGTGCATATACGTGTTAAGCAAGTCCAGGTAGCAGCATCAGAGGTCATGTCAGTGCATCTCCTGGACACCATGCCTCTTCATATGTTGTGCTATTTTCTTTTATGCAAAAATAATTACAAATTTTGTAGTTCTTTAGACAACAAAGAAAGGGGAAAGTAATTCCACCAACTACTGTATTCATTTTTTTGCTTTTAATTGTATTATCACCTTTGGAGACTTTCGTCAATTCCACTTAACTAGCAGCAATGGATAAAATTGGTGGTTTTCAAGTACTGCTTCTGTTACTAGTGTTGGCATTTAAATGTTAATTTCAGACTGAGGTTTACAGTAAACATGAAACAAGGGATTTTCTTTGAATGAACAATCTCAAACCAAAATTCTACATAAACGAAATCCTAGCACAGGATGTTTTCAAGTGCAGTGATTATTTCCTTTTACATATTTAACATTCCCTAAGTGATAGAAGTTAAAGATTTAAATGTGACAGTTAATTTATAATACTCTACATTAAAAAAGCATTTAAATGTTAACCACATTTTTATATGAGTCAAGTCAAAGTAATGATAATTACAGTATGATACAAAAGAAGCTGAAATAAACTTCTAGCAAACCATATTGAATATTAATGCCGTATTAAGCCCTGAAAAGCTGGGTTAGTAAACTCTGGAATTTAGATTATATGCAACTTAAACATAATGTGGGGGTTTTCTTCAAACAAGAATGCTTCGTTTCAAAGTTTGGATTTTTATGAGCTATGTATTAATTCATTGGATTTGTATTAAATACATTTTTATAGTATCACTCCAAGACGAAGCCTCAGATTACTTTTCTTCTATGGGTATATTTCTATGTAGGATTTGCTAAATTAACATTCTATATAAATTAATAGCCTTTTTTCATGTTTGTTGTGTTACAATAAGTAGTGTGATACTATGTTGTGTCACAGGTCATATTTATTTGATTTCAATTTAGAAATGGTATCTGTACTACATATTAAGTACGAGAAACAACATGCTGAATTTCCCATCAAATCTCTAAAATGCAGAGCTATTTTAGATGAGTTTGTATAAACAAAACACATATATTCTAATATAGGCGTGGGAAAGGAAAAGCTGGTTTGTTATACGCTAAAGCAAATTGGAGTAAATCAACCGCATCCGTGGGCTGGATAAGCAATACTACTCTGCTTTTCCCAGTACCATTTGGACAAGACAATGTTACTTTTTTATTTAAAGTGTTTTCTTCTCAACAAGGGGCCACCACTTCCCAATCTCAAAAACACGCCCCAGAATATGTTAATTGTATTGTGTCTCTGAAAGAAAGAGGTTGCCAAATGTAATAAAAAAAAAAAAAAGTCTTTCGATCAGTGAGCTGCATTCCCACTCCTAGTTACCATCTCATTTCAATTCCACGTATATACACATAGATACATTTTCTCCAGGTACAACTTTGACCATTAAAAGCTGTCTAAGTGTAAAAGTCTAACTTGACCACATAGAGTGTATCTGGGAAGCTTAACATTCCTGGTGAATTAAGCGCACAAGTCTCGGATCATTTTTTGTCAATCTTACTATGGTACTTCAGAGTCGGGAATTTGGGTAATTTTTATAACGTGGTACTTCCCAATTAAAGTAACAACAATGCTCCTTTGTGAAAAAAAATGAATATATAAAATATGTCAACACATTCCACACAAATACAAAATAAAGAGTAATGAAGAATGGCAACAAAAGGTCTCTCCCTATTTTTTAAATCTTTCCTTTCAATAAGATAGTTTTCAAATAGCGATATATTTTAGTATATACAAGACTATTAAATGTCCTTTTAAATCATGCTTTCTAAATTTGTAGCAACCTTCTGAAAGATCCCAAGCAGCAATCAAGAGCAAATGCATCTCCGGAATACCCACATAGGACAAGTAAAACAAACCAAAAATCTTTCTTTCCTCGATCTTACAGCTAATGCCTTTAGATATTACCAGGGTGGTGTTTTCCTATTAACAGTTACTTTCATCTTCAACTTTCAAATAATATGGATGCTTTTTACCATCTAAACTGAACTGAGCTTTTATTTGGAGGAGTCCCACAAAAGCCTGCAAGTTTTTCAAGAGTGAAAGAGAAGTCCCAAACGGTATTATCTGAAACAATGACTGCAAGCATGCAACTTCCCAAGTATGTGTGCGGGGGTGGAAGAGTCACTTCAGAATTATTTTCAACTAGGTAATATCAATAAACATCATCCTTTAACTTCTTCTTCTTACTGCTCACGATCTATGCAAACCACTAATTTTTGGCATATATTTAATTTTTAAAAAAAATAAAAATCTAGAAATCACTCCTAGTATTTTAAAATAAATTCCCAAGCACTCGGAGATAACTTTCTAAAAATAATCACAGTTCTCCTAGAAATAAATTTCTTAAAATAACCAGTTTTCTAGAAATTCTTTGCTCATCACATATATGAATCCCTACCCAGTTTAATTTAATCTTTCAGAAACAACATGCAAATACATATTTTTTTCCCTTAGATGATCAAGGGCACTTGTTGGGAATTTTCTTGAACATCAAGTTAGTCAATTCTTCCTCTATCTAAATACATGAGAAAGTTCAGGTCTGAAATGGCGTACTGAAAAAAATTAATTTCTAAATATTTTCGGGGGGAAAAAATGCAACCAACAATTTTCCCATAAAACAAATCTTTAAAAATCTCAAACCAACATAAAACAATCACTTGGGGAAAAAAAATCCATCATGGTGCTTATATGAAAAAGAGGGTAAGATTAATCTTCGTTTTTATAGACAGCCTGTTAAGAACAGTTCCTTCCAAAATTCTCTTTGGCTACATTTATTTATCCAAATCCAGTGAGTCGGAGCAGTTTTTCCCAATTTCTTTAACAAGTCCTGTTCTAAAATCCACCCAGAAACAGATGTTACTTTATGTACAATTCCGCTGCGGTAGTGGGGAGGGGGGGGGGCGGTTTACCTTTCAAGTAACACGTGAGCTACAGCCTCACGGAGCTCCCTCAGCGGATGGCACTTCTAAAGGCTCCTCTCTACTCATGTGCCCGGTTTCTCGCCGGGTACCCCCGCGCCTCTGCCTGCGAGCACTCGGCGTGCGGGGCCGGGAGCTTTCCCTCCTCCCCGCCGGGCGGGAAGCGGCGCGAAAAGAGGCGGCCGGGGAACAATGGGCAGCGCCGGGAGCACTGGGAGCCCCGGCCGCGCTTCCTCTGGCCTAGCCGCCGCTTCCTGCGGGCTCGCTCGCTGCTTCGCTCCCTGGGGCAACCTGCCTGGAGCCCACCCCGCTGCCAGGAGACCCCCGCTCACCCTCAGAGTGCCCCGTGCCCGCGCCGCGCCGCCGAGGGCACCCACGAGTTTACTCTGCCGGCCGCTCGCTGGCCCCCGGGGTTCTCCCGCCCGCGCAGGGCGAGCGGGGCTGCCCGGCTGGCGCGGCGCCAGCCCCGCTCCCGAGCCTATCCCGGGGTCGGGCGGGCGGCCTATGGGAGCCGTGATCCCGCTGCCCCGGGCTGCTGCCCCGCACGCCGCGAGCACTGCCCGCAGGAGAGCGGCAGCACTGCAGAGGCGCCGGCCCCACCGCACCGCGCGCTCCCTCCCTTCAGGGGACGGGGCTGCGCACAAAGGGCAGCTCAGCATTGTTCTCCTCCCTGACCCCCAAATCCCCTCTTCCCCGCCGGGAGAGGCGAACTGCGAGGGCCGGGACGGAGGGCAAAGATGGGGAGAGGCCAACTGCCCGCGGCGCCGGCCACTTCCCAGGGCATCTTGCCATCTTCGCCTTCGCCAAACGCGCCGTCGTGCCGTGCCTGCCGTCGAAGCCCTCCTGCCCGCCATCCCTTGCGCCCTACTCGCAATTTAGTGTGTCTTGCATATGTCACTTTGCCTAAAAATCCCGCCGAGGCTCCTAAGGCACCTCTCTTCACATCCCAGCCAACCAAGCCTCCTTCTTAAGCTTCCACACAGGATCACCCGCTTCACACAACCCAAGGAGGAAAAAAACCAACTCTACCAATGCAAGGTATTATTGGAGGGTTTTGTCTTCAAATTCACAAAAAGAGTCCTGCTTTTCAACCTTGATGGGCTTGGTTAGGTGACCAGGCCATACTGCAGCTACAGCGCTGCCTCCTTTGACACCTGCAACTTACAGCCCAGCGCGTTCCTGGCCCTAGGCTCAGAACACCATGGAGCAGACCCCAAGACAGCCGGGATCCAGCAGAAAACTCAAGGCATGCGAGGAAGGGAGCAGGAGCTACAACGCGACACTGAGGAAAAACCATGTCTCGATTTAAATAATTGCATAATATTAGGATTTAACTTATAAATGTTTACATTTGTGTGATTTGATTAATGTCACGTTTGATTTCCTTAAAGCCACTGACAAGGTACTTTAAAACACGAGATTAACGTCTAACAGCGATGAAATTCAACAGGCAAATCCTCTTCCCAGCGCCCCAGCTCCCACAACACCCAGGCAGGCAGGGACTTCAGACCCCCTTCCTGCCCCACCGCCCCCGCCACAGCCAAGGCGGTCTCCCCCGCATCCTGTGGCCCAGGTGCTCCCCCCGGCAGCTGACGGGATTCCCGGCCGGTCCCTATCCCGGCACCCGCCGGCGCTCCCGCTCGAACGCGGCCAGACCCGCCTCTGCCCCGCCCCCGGCCGGCCGTTACCGCCGCCGCCACAGGGACACCCCGATCCCGCCGCGGCGCTTCCCGAGGGAGGCGACGCCGCTCCCGGGTTTTCCCGGGATGCCCGGGGGGGGGGGGGGGGGAGGAACGGGACAAGGGGCTCGAGCGCGGCACGAGCACGGCCGGCGCGGGGCATTGTGGGAAGGAAGGTGTCGGGGCGGCAGAGGAAGCGGCGGGCGGGGGCGGGGGGGTCAAAGGTCAGCGGCCGGGAGTCCCCGCGCCCATGGCGGGTGGGCCGCGCCGCGCCGGGCCGGGCCCTCCCGGCGGGCCGGGGCCGGGCCGCCCTTCGCAGTGCGAACACCGAGCGCGTGTGTGTGCGTGCCCATGTCTGTCCGTTCGTCCGTCCGTGTGTCCGGGGCCGCCGCGGCCGCCGCCCTTTGTAACGGTCCGCGCGGGGTTTCCTCGCCCCCAGCCCCTCCCCCACCGCGTTTCCACGCGATTTATGGGATTTGCAAATAATTCGAGGGGATTTTTTTCTTTCCCCCCACTCCTATCCCCTCCCCCCACCCCCATCTCCTAACCTCCGCTTCCTCTCCCGCCGCCCCGGCAGTCCCCGGGGAGCTCCGTGCTCGCCGGCAGCGCGGGGCCGGGCACACCCCGCACACAAAGGTCCCGGCCCCGATCCCCATCCCCATCCCGCTGCCATCGGCCGCGGCTCGCGGAGGATCTCTGGCGAGTCCACAGCCATGAAATCTACACTCCTGCCCGCGGCAGGCTCCAGCGGCGGACGGGCGGTGACTCGAACCGCCCTGCAACTTTCTCGTCGTCCCCCGCACCCCTGTCCCGCCGCCGAAGGTAAAGTTGAAGCCGGTCCCCCCCGCCAGCCCCTCGCAGCGAGGCTCAAACGGAGGAGGAAAATGTGAAATGTTCACAAGGAGAAGTGGTTCCCTTTGTTCTTTCATTGTTTCTACCCGAACTGGCGGATACAAGGATAAACACTTACCTTCTCTCCTTTTTGCTCCAAAACACACACGTTCCCATCAGCCTTAAAATGCACGGTCCACTTTGGAAGCGACTACAAATGTCGGGAGAGTTTGTATTCCATTCTTTTACGCTCTCTGCTCTTTTTAGCGTAAGATTAAGTTGCCGAGCACGTTGTTGCAAGCCCCCCGCCTTAGTGAATGGTCACGTTTAGGACCCTCCAAGTCCATCCTAATTCTGCCAGTAGAATTGAGGGTATTGGAGGTCTAAACTTTCAAAAGGAAAAGGGCCTGCATCTATCGAGCAGACCTGAAAATCCCCTCAGTTCTTCACTCACTTTCACAAAATGGATATAAACATCTCACCCCGGACAACTCAACAAAATATACATTTTAAAGCTTGAATGTAGAAAAGCTGTTCCCTCGGCTGAGATAAGCTAAAAGCAAATTGCCGTGAAGAAAATCTACCTCCAGTATATTCTGCAGCAGAAATAGTCTCTGTCTGGAGTTTAAAACAAACAAATAAATAAGAGCATCGTATAGAAATATTACACATAAAGTTTGAAGGGAAAAAAGCTCTGAGAGGAACACGCTACCCAGAGTAGAATGGGGAGAATCACAGCTTTTTAAAGTGTCCTTTTCTTGCAAAAATTACTGCTTTTCATTTTTCTCCTGTGCAACCAAGCCAGGAGGAGATAAACCAGTTTTCTGCTTTCTTTGTAGTCCAGTCGGTGTTTCGCACCCAGAAACACAGGCAGTCCCCCCCTAAACCTTGCTTTAATCTGATTATGATGAGATTTGCTGATACAATGAATATTTGAAATGATCCTTGTGTCTTAGTGAGTGGGAAGCATTTCCAGGCTCCCGTTTCCAAGGCTCCCCACCACAGAGGGAAGAGGAGCGGTGGGGAGACCCCGCTCCCCGAGGCCCCAGCGGGGTGGCAGCCATGAGGGGGTGGACACAGCCCCCTCCTCCAGTGCCCAGGGGCACCGGATTAATTCAGCCCAAATCCCTCAGTCAGTGGTTGGAGCTGGATCCTTAAGTGCCTTTTCCCCCTCCATCATCACCCATTTTCCAATTGAAAAATAAACAAATAATAGTAAAATAAATTAAAAAAAAAAAAAAAGAATATGCAGGCGACCCAAGTAATTGTGGGACTGGGAGTGCGTGTTGTCTCACACCCCTCTCCTCCTCCTCCTCCTTCTCCTCCTCCTCCTCCTCCTCCTCCCCCCCCCTCCTCCTGATGTGGCCTTAATGGCAAACTGGAAGGCCGGTTTATTTCATAGGGCCATATTACAAACAACAAGGTAAATAGGGAGTCGTGGGGAAGAAGGAGGGAGGGGAGAGGGAGGGAGAGGGGCTTTTCTTTGATAGCATTTAATTGGAATTGAAACATTCTGGGGCTGTAAACATTCTTTATTTATTCAGCACACATAAGCGGGCATTGTTTTATCACCATCATAATTACGGTGTCCTTTAAACTGACTGATAGCAAAGGAGATAAGGGAATGTGCCTGTAGCTCCAGATCAAATCGCTGGCTCTCCCCTCTCCCTGGGTCTCCAAGATCCACACAGTCCTTGGAGATGGGAGCGCCGGAAGATTGTGGCCTGGCCATCCCTTACGTCATGAAAGTGATTTGTACCACATTGCTAATTTGGTGCAATTCATAACCTCCCAATCGCCTTAATTTTCAACTGCTTTTCAGTTTGCAGGCTACATTTTTTAAGATGTAGTTTCCCAGAGTAGAAATTAAGAGGGATCACCTATGTGCAGGAGAGGATCTTAATTCCCAGTGTTTGTTGCTTTACCTTTGTCTAATTAAAAATGCAAACTTTTAGGATCCTTTCAGAACAAAGCCTCACCAAATCCCCTTTACGTCCAAGGATTTGCAAATTTATAAAGGCTGCATTGAATTCAGCATGGGTCAAGGGGCAAAAAAAGGGTAGAAGGTCACTGCATTTTGATTATGGGTCAGTAAACAACATGGCATGTAGTATGTGTCCAGAAACTCCTGCTAAAAAGTATTTTAAAACTACCACGAGTATTAAACTCAAGAAATAGTCTTAGCTCGTGGTGATTATAAATTGCACAAAATTCTAGAGTGCAAGAAACATTCCAGCCCCCCCCAAAAAAAACAACCAAACAACCAAAACCAAAAAACCACCAACTTAAAAAGCACTTAGTAGAACCCTGCATTGTGTCTTTATTTACCAACAAAAAAAAAAAAAAAAAAAAAAAAAAAAAAAAAAAAAAAAAAAAAAAAAAAAAAAAAAAAAAAAAAAAAAAAAAAAAAAAAAAAAAAAAAAAAAAAAAAAAAAAAAAAAAAAAAAAAAAAAAAAAAAGAGGAAAAAAACAACCCTGAAACTCATAAGCATAAGAGTGTTAACCAGATTATGATTTTTTTTTTCCCTGGACTGGTGGTTGGTATTTCTTTGTGCCACACATTTAGGATATTTAGTTATACATTCTGATACATTGTCAGAGTAGAATTTACGGCAAATTTTAGGTACTACAGTCACATTTGGCTGACTTTAAAATAGCAGAAGGATCCTATTATATTGTTCTTTGACCCTATTATATTTACATTTCTGGACTCTTTGTGATAGCCTCTATCTGCTCTCTTTCGGTGTCCTCCTTGAGAAAAATATGCCCAGCAGTATCTAGAAGCAGGGTATAGTGTTAGAAATCAAGTTCTCATGTGAAATATGTATTTCTGCTCAGTGTCATGAAAGCAAAAGGTTTATTTAATGCTTGTCAGTACCTGAAAATATGGTCCAGCATTAACAAATAATAATAAATAATAATAATATTCTAATAATGTGGCAATCCTAGTGTTAAAATGTGTATGACCTCTTGGGTTTTCCTGAAGATTTTCAAAAGAATTCTCCCCATTAGTACAACTGGTGGTGGACGTTGCTGTTGCATTTCCCAACGAAACGTTTAAAAGACTGTAAATGGTGTGTGCATTACTACATTGCAGAAGGAAGAGGTCAGACGGAATTGCACTGGTATTTAAATATAATCATACTATGAAAATAAATCAAAACAACACGTAAAAGGAATATTTAAACGTTGCACACATTTTCTTTCTGGAATGACATGGCTAAGCACTTCCCTGTGAGCATATAGATTTTAACACAAGTTTACAAAAAACCAAAGTATATGATTTCCAACAAATGGGAATAGGTCTGCAGCAAAGTTTTATGAATATTATTTTGTTCTTTCTTTTCCAATGAGGTTTATCCTTCGGCCAGACAGTTTCAAGACTGAAATACTACTGGCTATAGAGTGTAGATTGCAGATTGCACGCTACTCAATGTGAAAAGGAGCACGTTTGATTGATCGCCTCTGTGTGTGTGTGCGCCCATACACACAACTCTCTGTAGTTGCATGTGTATGTATTTGGCAAAACCGGGCATCTCTGGGCCTCCTTATCTTAAGAAATGTGAGACAAACATCCATCCCTTTAATCATGTTCATCTTTGATCACCAGAGAGGGTGACACAATCCACAAAATTAACAAAGAAACTCCCTTGCTTTTGAGAAATAGCTACATGTACATCTGGGTCTGCACACACATATACATGGACACACGAACACGCAGGCATACATCTCAGCAAGTAAATTATGGCATAACTTTTCATGTAATTGACACCAGACACCTTTAATTTTTCATTTTCATTCTTTTGACCAGCTTTCACATTAACAATCTAAACCATAAATGTTGGTGGCTATTGATTGCAATCCCCTGTGTGCGTGCAAATCCATTTTCAAGTCCCCTGCCTTTAATGTGCATGTGCGTGTGCAAGAGGCCTCTGACGGCTCTTTATCAGGATCTCCCCCTGCCCGCTTGAAGACGACCCCGGATACACAATGTGTGCTGATGGCCAAGGGAAAGCGCACACACATGCACACAAAAAGAACCAAAACAAAACAAATGATGGAAAAGTAAAGAAACAAAGCTCTCCGTGTGAGATGCGGAGAAAGACATGCAACCGAAAGTGTGCGTAAGTATACGGTGGGGATGTGTAGGTTGGGCGCCTGACATTTCCCAAGTCTTCTGGTGTGTTTCTCCCTGCCGACATCTGGCGCTGCTTCGGCCCCAGTGCTCATGGCCGCACCTTTCGGGGGAGCCCGAGGTTTGCCGAAAAGCCCCTACTAGTTTTAAACGTTTGGTAGCGCCGAAATTAAAGAGAAAAAAAAATAAAAAGAAGGCATTTTTAAACCAGTTGCCGAATCCCACTGCCTGGCTGTCACCGGCAGCGCGTGGGTGCAGGTCTGGGTGCCCGTGGCTTCCTGCGTGCGAACGCACGCGTGGATTTACACGGGAATCTGACCCAGCTGAACTACCTGACAAATAAAGGAGTTTTCATCCCATCGGGTTTTTTTGTAACGTCTTCTGAACAGCTTTATCGGAGTTTACAGTTCCTTTACTGTTGACTCCATAGCCTTAACCTTAAAGCAGGGGGAGGAGAGCAGTGGGGAGGGGGTGGGGGTGTTGGCAGCATATAAGTACATCAGGAGGAATTTTTAAACGACCTTATTGTCTCTAGCTCTAGAAAGACCACGATGATTTCTTTTTAGCGCCAGCAGCTGTTTTGTCTCGAAACTTTGCTTTCAGCCTCAGCATATACGAGGGTGCCTCTCACACGAGCGAGCAAGAGAAAGGCAAGGCTGGGGGATCCAGATGCGAGGAGAGGAAAGGCGAACTCCGCGGATGGTCTGAGCTGTGCCGAGGCATTGTTCACTGCTGCCTCTCGGTTACGTTTAAAGGCTGAAATATCACGAGATCCACTCAATGATCCTTTTCTAATTCGAGGGACAAAATGTAATTTGCTGTAGCTCTGCTTTCTCGGATGGGAATACTATCCCTAGGTTTCAAAGGGAAGAACTAGGCATCGCGGTTCGCACACACATGGATTAAGTTGAACAGCGGCGATTACATCTGCGCTGAGAGCAACAGTAGTCCAGGGCTGACTTTTCAAATCTCAGCCCTCCGAGTTAGAGGCTCTCTTGAATAGACTTCCTCCATTCCCGGATGCACTTCTCCAAATTCCCACTTCTCTCCCGAATTCCTGTGAAATTGGGGGCTCGTCTGCATTTTGCCTTGGCATGCAAAACTGCTTTTTCACAGAGAGATTATGCGCTTTCTTTTAGCTGTACCTGACGGGGTAACACGAACTCCACGCACCATATTGCCAACATGCTGAGTGGATATTGACGTTTGGGAATGAAGATTTTTAATTTCTTTTTCTCCGTCGATTTTTTTGCCAAGTCACAGCAATATGAGATGTCTCATTAATCTCGCGGATGTGTCTAATTCTGGATGTGCAGTGATACATAAAAGTGCTGGTGTTTGTATCCAGCGGAACACTGGATGCACGGCAGAGATTGGTGATTTTTTTTTTTCCGCAGCGGCTAACGTGCAAACCGCAAGCATCACGTTAACGTGACAAGGGAGAGGCATGCAGCTATCGCAACATTTGCGAAATCCCCGTTGCTGACACTCGAATAATTTAACGTTCCTAAGAAGAGGTTAAACATTCGTGCTGCTTCTTCCAATTGATTTTAAGGGGCTGCTATAAATGGAGCATCAAAAAGCTTCGGCAGGGCTTCCCCGAGCGGAATATGCAAACTGCGAGCCAGAAGCATCCTAGCCCGATGCAATATCGTACATTGTGTGTGCCAGCACTTTTTTGTTATTACGTAAAGGCTCTTGGAAGCACCTTGGATATTTTACATTCTCCTTTCTCTGCTGGAAGCAATCAGCACGCAGGAATCCTGACGTGGGCTCTGGGACTATAGGACATTCCAGCTCGTGATCCAGTACGGTTAATCGTGAAAAGTGTATACATTTCTGGCTTATCTATGCTTTGTTATGGGTCTGACGTGAGCTCACGTCCTCCTCCCCCCTCCCGCAATATTACAGGCAGAATTTCAGTTAAAAGTGTTACAGTATCACGGTGCAGGAACCCGTGATACTCACACAGCAAAAATAACCTTAGTCCCTGGCTGTAAAAAGCTAATTAAGCAGAAGAGGAAAATCAAGAGAAACTCGAAAATGTAAGTATTCCCTCTCGTTAGCAACCGAACATTTAACTTTGGAGCCTCAGAAGGGGAAATACCAGGCTGTTCTGCACGTTTTCTCTAAGCTTCATTTTCCACACAATGGAGAATAAAACGCTAGTTTAAAGCGGCTACGTTACCGAAGGATTTTCCATCGTTACGATCAGACTTACGTCCTTTAAATTCACGGCATGCACAAAAGAGCAACGTTTGTCCAAAACAGGCTGAAAATATACGGAACGATAGGGGGGAAAAGCATACAAATCCTTCCTCGGAAGCTAGCGACGAGGAAGTCTGAGAGGGCTGAGTATGTTTGAGCTCGGATTGTTTAATAGAAAGATTTATATACTAACTGTATTATTTACTTTGGGAGGGGAGGTGGCAGTATAAGGGTATGCTAATTAGTGGGAGATTTTTTGGGGGAAGGGGTGGAATATCAATTTTTATTGCATCACCTGTCAGGAGTGTCCAATCAGCGTTGGCTTTAGGGGAATTAATTGATGAAGGTGTCTCCGGACGAGCTCACTTCACTCTGTCATTTTATTTGTAGCTAAAGCAGCGGCGGGAATAGCAGCTGCATTTCTTTTCTCTTCCTCCCTTCACATTCCATTATCATAGTTTCCAATGGAAAAGCAGGGAATGAAAGAGAACAGGTACTGATCTTCAGAAGCAACTTAGAGAAACACTTTGGCAAACCTGATTTTTAAGATTATATATTGATTGTAGCCTCACGGTATTTTTTAATTTATTTTTTTTTTTAATTTTGTCTAAAGTTTGGCACTTCATTCACCAGGAATAACAGCCTTTGTTATATTTTATTAGCAGGATGCCTTGAGACAAATACAGCATCTGGCTGAGGATTGTGTGTGTGTGGCTTTTTCTTTTTTTTTTTCCTTTTTTTTTTGTTTTTTTTTTCATCTCTCTCTCTCTCTGCAAATGCTGGGAATAATTTAATTCACGAAATGGGAGACCTGAAGTCGGGTTTTGAAGAGGTGGATGGCGTGAGGCTCGGCTACCTCATCATTAAAGGAAAGCAAATGTTTGCACTCTCCCAGGTTTTTACAGACCTGCTCAAAAACATCCCGCGAACTACCGTGCACAAGCGAATGGATCATTTAAAAGTAAAAAAGCATCACTGCGACTTGGAGGAGTTGAGGAAACTCAAAGCCATCAACTCCATCGCTTTCCACGCCGCCAAATGCACCCTGATCTCCAGAGAGGACGTGGAAGCCCTGTACACATCCTGCAAAACCGAACGGGTACTTAAGACGAAACGGAGGAAACTAAGCCGGGCTCTGTCTGCCGCCGACCTCCGGCCAGAGCTCGCTCCCGCCGACCCCTTCACCGGATTCTGGAAGGAGAACAAACTTTGGCTGGGTCTGAGTGACTCTCCCCGGCCGCTGCTGCCCGTCCGGAGGAAAGCTCTGCGCCCGGGGGACACAGCCTTGCTACCGGCCGCTCATCTACCTCACATTTTTAGTAAATACACTGGCCACAGCTACCCAGAAATCGCTCGGGCGCCTTGCAAACCCCCCGTAAACTATGAAACGGCGGCGGGCGGCTGCGCGCCCCTGCGCCCCCGCCGCCCGCCCGCCGCCGCGGCGCGGCCCCGGCTCCCGGCCGCCAGCCCCCCGCCCCTGCCCGCCCGCTGCCGCCGCCGCCGCCACGGGGCGGCCGCCGCCGCCGGTACGCTGGGCCCCCCCGGCGGCGCCCGCCGGCCCCTGGCCCTGCCCCGGCCCTGCCGGCCCCGCGGCGTTCCGCGGCTGCCGCTGCCGCTGCCCCGCGGCTTCGGGCCGCCCGCCTTCGCCGAGAGCGCCAGCAGCGACTCGGAGTCCAGCTGCTGCTCGGGCCGCGCCGCCCACGACTCGGACTGCGGCTCCAGCCTCTCCAGCTCCAGCGAGGGCAGCTCGGAGGAGGAGGACGAGGAGGAGGAGGACGAGGAGGGCAGCGGCGCCTCGGACTCCAGCGAGGGCAGCTCGGAGGAGGAGGAAGAGGAGGAGGAAGAGGAGGAGGAAGAGGAGGAGGAGGAGGACAGCACCTCGGACTCCGACTCCAGCTCGGTCTCCAGCCAGGTTTCGGTGCAGAGCATCCGCTTCAGGCGCACCAGCTTCTGCAGCCCGCCCGGCGTGGTCCACGCCAACTTCTTGTACCATCTGGCGGCCGCCGCCACCCCTCGGCCCCCGGCCCCGGCCCCGGCGGAGCCCGGAGGGCTACCCGCCCTCCGCGGCGCTCCCGGCGGAGTCAAGCCGGAGCTGCCGGAGGAGTGGGGCCGCCCCGGCTGGGCTCCCGCCGCCCCGGCGCTGCGCTGCTCCGGCGGCCTAGGGAGCTGCTTCGCGGAGATAAGAGATGATAGGGTATCCGAGATCACATTCCCACACTCTGAATTTTCCAATAATGCCAAGAGTACTGACCTAACAATTAACTGTGTTGCAAAGGGGGCCTCTTCACCTAGCCCAAAGACAAACAATGCATTTCCACAACAAAGAATACTCAGAGAGGCAAGGAAATGCCTTCAAGCAACTACTACACACCGTGCAGATAACAATGCAATAGCTGCTAGGTTCTTAAATAATGATTCTTCATCAACGGCAGCAAATTCAGAGGAAGATTCCAAAATCCCTCATTGTATTGAATTTGCCACGGATTTGCCCTCTTTACAAACTGATCCTGCGGAGGATGCTGCTTCTCCAGGGGCAGCAGCAGCAGCTGAGCTCCAGTGCACTGATACAGGCAATAAGGCATTGCCATTCCTGCACAGCATTAAAATCAAAATAGAGGACAGCAGTGGGAACGACGAGTATGAGCCTGATCTTACAACACATAAGCTAAAGTGTGAGTGCAATGATACTAAGGATGAGTTTTACGGTGTGACTGAGAGTAATAACCAGGACGCTTTATTAACAGCCAAGGAAGATTCTGCATGCACTGAGAAAGAAACCACTTCCTTAAACCCGCTGACTCAGAGTCAGGTCCTCTCATGCACTTTAGGTACTCCAAAACCTGAGGATGGGGAGTATAAATTTGGAGCAAGGGTGAGAAAAAATTACAGGACACTGGTTTTGGGAAAGCGACCTGTACTGCAGACTCCTCCAGTCAAACCAAATTTGAAATCAGCTCGAAGCCCACGTCCTACAGGTAAAATCGAGACACATGAAGGAACACTGGATGATTTTACAGTTAACAATAGACGCAAAAGGGTAGCCAGCAATGTAGCATCAGCAGTGAAAAGGCCATTTAATTTCATGGCAAATTTTCCCTGTCCACCATCACTAATTATTGGCAATGATGGGGATTTGTTGCCAGCTTATTCCTTAAACACCACTAAGGATTCCCAACCACCTCACAAGGCCCATCCTGTATGGAAATGGCAGCTGGGCGGTTCTGCAATACCTCTTCCACCTAGCCACAAATTCAGGAAATTTAATTAATAAAATGGTTTGGAAAATATTTTCTTGAACCACCTTTAACTTTCTTACTCTTTTTTTTTTTTTTTTTTTTTTTTTTTTTTTTTTTTTTTTTTTTTTTTTTTTTTTTTTTTTTTTTTTTTTTTTTTTTTTTTTTTTTTTTTTTTTTTTTTTTTTTTTTTTTTTTAAACTGCAGCATGGTTTGTACAAACCTATTAATGCTATACACACTTTTGGAATCCTGTTTTATCACAATGTGAAGACAGAAACCGGATTACTATTTTATTTACCATTACAACAGTGGTGGGATTTTTTTTTTGGTGGTTTGTTTTTGTTTTGTTCTGTTCTGTTGCATTGGCGTTTTTTATTTTATTTTATTTTGTTACATTCCACAGAGTACTTCAGGCTAAAGACTCAAGTTAAACTCAGTTATTACGGTAAAGCTGGAACACTTTACTGTTTAAATGCTAATAATGCACCAGTACCTCAATTCAACTGCTGCAAATAAATGTCAAAAGGTTGAATAATAAATATTAGAATGAGCCATTAAATTTATGCACTAGATTTTGAAAATGGAAGTCTAACTGTTAATTCAGTTAAAGTTTGTTAAGTTACATGGTTGCACAGTAAGGGTTCACTATAATTCAATGTGGCAGCAATCTACTTTTTGGGAGCTTTGTTTTCGAGTGCAGGGGTGTCTTTTTCGAAGAGCAGTTGCACTTACTCCTTTTTCTCTGGTTTGGAAAGCCTGGTGTCCGCCTGTGACCCCAGCATTGGGAAAAGCTGCCTCATTTGAAACCAGTAAATAAATGTGGAATTCTATTTTCGGTAAAAGGGTGTCTTTTTGCTTGTACAGCCACTCTTTGCAATTGGGAAGCCTTTTTGTTTCACCCAGAGGTCTTAAATAAGGTTACTGTTACCCACTAATGTCATACTTAAGTTGTGGTCTGAACATGCCCCTTACAAACTTGCAAAGCAACTAAAATATTTGCCCAGCCAGCAGTACAATTTATGGTCCAGCCCCTCACGCTGGCTGGAGGAAATAGCAAAGCAGTAAATACAACACAGAAAGTGAAATGAGAGGCCGTAAGTGGAAAGATTACACAAAACGAGAAGACCATGTTATTCATAGCTTTTTGGCACCAAAACTCAAGCATTTCAACCGTGTTACACTTCCCGGATCTATTCTCATATCTTGAAATTTGCTGTCGTGGGTTTTATTTTGTCATGCCATCCTCTCTATGTAGCAGAAACAATTCTACTGCACGTGACAATCAGAGGCAATTATCTATATTTGCACTTAATATCGAAATAGTCGAACAGGCAGACTTCTAGAGTCTAGCCCTCGGTAAGTCATGCTGGTATAATATATTGTGATGATGGAAGCAGTAAATCAAAATTATGGAAATTTGCACTGTTGAAAAGCATGCTTTAGCTTTATTTTCAATTAAAAACACTGTTTTAAAAAATCCTGATTCCAAACACTTTGAATTATTGCAGAGTTATCCGTGGTTTCCTCTCCGTTTGTAAGTTCACTGTTTTTATTTGGAGGAAATACGCTTCAAGAGGTTAACTGTTTCCCTCCCTTCCCCCCCCCCCAACCTCTCGAAAAGAAAGGGAAGGAAGAAAAAAAAAGAGAGAGAAAGGCTGGAGGCCGAGGTGGAGGCAGAGCCGAGGACAGGGGAAGGTCTCTTTTGCGGGGGGAGGACGGGTACAGCAACTCTGAAAACAGCCTGAAAAGTTTGCAGCTTGAGAAAGGCAGTAATAATTGAGTTGCTGAATCAGCAGAGTTTAGGATGAATAATTGCTGGTTTCTTTCTTTGGATTAGCATTTTATTTATACTAGATCATTCACAAATTAAATTTTAAGGATTCCACTCATCGATCAATCCCGGGAGAATAATTTATCATAAATCAAAAAAGGAAAACAAAGCAACAATGTAATGTTTACTGTGTGACTCAAAGTCAACATTTCTGCTGGCAATCCACTGCCTGGGATTCAATTTTTTAATTCCTGCCTTTTGTGATGCCCTCTCCCAACCCCTCGTGTCTCCAAATATTTCAAGTAGTCACTAACTGATTTCAGCTCTGTTTACTATATCCACACCGGAGTTTTCCTCCCATTGTAAAAGGCCTAGTCTAAGAATACCTGCAGCCAAATATATTTAGAAAGAGTAAACAATTGCCTTTCAGTGGAGTTACCCTTCCCCCCTGCATACACACGTACACACACACACACACACACACACACATCACTTTAAAGCTGCCAATTGCAAAAGGTGCATTGCATACTCAACCGCTCTGCTGAAATTACGATGGTCATGAAAAATCTGCTTACTGAAGTTGTTCTGAGATGAATGTTTACATTCGTGTGTTTAGAGCTGCACAGATTACAGCCTTATTTCCAGAGAACTGTAAGTATGTACAAAATGTACTGCTCAGGAAAGACCCCCACTCTGTTAGAAACCGTGTCTGCTTGACAAAGGTCTTCACTTGAACAAAAAAAAAAAAAAAAGGGGAAAAAAAAGAAAAGGGAAAAAAAAAAAAAAAGAGCCAAAAGCTACAAAAGTGCAATATGCAAACTTGAAACCTAAAATTTCGCCTTGTCAATTAAACAATGTATCACTTTCAAAGTAACTCTGTCCCCTGACCCTGTTTACTTCCAATTAGAGATATGCTGATTTGGCCAGGAATTGTAAATTACAGAGGTGCCTTTTCAGGTTCCTGAAACAATCCAGGAGGGGGGAGGAGGGGGTGGTGGTGGGAGGGGGAGAAATAAGCATAAATTTATACCAAATAGGCTCTGCAGAGTTGAGGACGTGAAATATGGCGCCCAGCCCTGCCAGTGGCCCGGGAGCTCCAGGCACCCCCGGGCATCCCTGGCAGGCTGCTCCACTTGGCTCTCCTCCGCCCAGGCAGCAGCAAACGGCAAGGAGTTAAACAGCCAAATAATTTTCACACGTGCACACCTCAGTTTAGTGCAAGCCACTAACAGGGACATTCGTGTTTTTACTGCCGCTGGAGAAATTAGCCAGGTACAATAACCACTAGGGGAAAAAAAAAGGGGGGTAGGGGGGATTGAAAAAAAAATGGTATTCTCTCCAATTCTGGTAGTTTGATAACTGTTTCTGATGACATTGTAATTATTATTGCGATCAGAGTTCGTTATCATTTCAGCCTTAATCATGTGAAGTCTTATCACTGAGTTACATAAAAATAACCAATTTTCTCCCATAAAGGTAAGTTCTAATAATGAGGAAAACCCAAGGTTTTCCAAGAGAGCTAGGCTACCATTTTGCTGCAATGTTTACAGGAGATAAAACTTAAAATATATTAGTAATGAATCGCCACCATTTCCCAATTCCTGGTGTACACACAAATCAACAGAATTTTCTAGAGGAAAAAGCAATTGAGGGAAATGTGTGTACTTTACGGACTATACTGCATAGGTATTAGCCACAAGTAGAGTTCACCGGTAAATTTATTGGGAAGATTTCTGCTGCCAGATGGACGACAAAGAAAGTTTTGGACTCTGTTTAATTCTCTAGAGCATTAAAAAGGGAACACGTGGAATGCCTTCAGCAAGAGGTATATTGCCTTAAAAGATGTAACTTGCCGTTTACAGCAATTTACTTTAGGAACCGATTGTTATATAAGCTACACTTACTTGATACAGTGGGATAATCTCTTTACTGACTGTTTATTTAAAATGCCACTACCAGCAATAATGCAAAATAGGGGTAGCTGTTTTATGAAGTTTGCTGTTTAATCAATTCACATGGTGATTTTTTACATGGTCTCTGATCTCTTTACCTCTAACAGATTTAGTTGCCAATAAATTAAAGTTTCTGCAGAAATGAGAGCAATGCTATCATGTTTATGTTTGTCACTGTTCACACGTGTGAGTGGTTGAGACAGAAAAGGGTAAAAAAAGTGGCATTTTTGACACACTGTGGTACTCTGCAGGAAAATATTCTACATATGCAGTAGGTTGGAGAACATGAAACACAGATAACCTTGTTAATTGTGGGGTTTATGATTAAGAGGATTGCTGGAAAGAATATGTAATGGTTCATCCTGGAATCTATTTGGTCAGCTTGGAGGTACAAAAGGAGGGCGAGTGCCTGAAAATGAAAAGCCCTGGCTAGCAAAATCAGGAGGGAAGCACTGGGATCTGTGTTGCTGAAGTCACGCTTGCAGACATTACCCATTCCCCTGGTACATGGCCCTGCAAGCCGTGGTCTAACAGCTCCGGCCTGCCCGAAAACCTTTCGGGAAGGGACAGCGAGCCGGGTTTAGGCCTTACACGTTGCATTTTTTCACTGCGCTGATATAATTATTTCCCGTGCCCTAGGCCCCTCTCTCTCCCCCTCTCCCTTTCTCTCCGAGGCGGCCTCACAAGCCCCCGCTTTAAAAGGCCCGAGATGTTTTGCATGAGGCGCTCACAATAGGGGTTGAGGGAATTGACAGTTTCAAAAACAAGGCGCCCTGTCCTTTCCAGATGCCGAGGACCCCTCTCCCGCACCATCTCTCGTTTGCTCCTCGCTGCTGGTGGCTTTACCCTTAGCATTGCAAATACACGGCAACAGCTGTGTTTGTAAACAGGGGGGAGGACGGAGGGAGCGCCGCCGGCCCCGCTCCCGCTCCGTGAGGCGCGCTGCCGCTGCCTAGAAATTACAATTAAAAAAAAAAAAGAAAAAAAAAAAAAAGGAAAGGAGGGGGGGAGTGAAATCAAACAAATGCGGGAGCGCAGCCGGGGCCCCCGAGCGGCGGGGCGGCCACTGCGCGGCGGGCCCGGGGCACACCGCGGCGCGGGCCGCCATCTTGCCCTGCACCGCGGAGCCTCCCCGGCTGTCTGGCCCGGCTCCCCCTCTCCCGGCCCGGCTCCCTGGCCCGACTCCCGTGCTCCCGGCCAGCGTCCCGCGGGCGGCGGGGGCGGCGCGGCGGTCTCCGGGGGTTCTCGCACTTCAAAGCGGGGCCGTGGCTTCCACCCCGCACCCCCCTCCGGCTCCTCTGCCGGGGCGTCCATCTTCCCGGGCTCTCCCGTGGCGCGGCCCTGCCGCC